GAAAAGGAACTAGATGCTAATTGAGATTGAAAGAAATTAAATCTAGTTACCTAACATGGGAAGGGAAATTTGGGTCCATAGTATTCACTAACCCACTTGGCAATTACCTTGTCCATAATGATGCACCCCATGAAATGCACCCATACTTTGCCAAGTCTCCAAATTCCCCGAAGTCCATCGGATATCTCACTTCCCTTTCGGGATCCAAACCTTCTTGGTGCTCTTCATGTTGGAAATGATCTCCTTTGGCACCCAAATGCCTTTGGCCCCATTGTTGGCTTGCTTGTTCACCTTGATGGCCACCACCTTGTTATTTTTCTTCTTCTTCAAGAGATAAGGTGTGGAGGCCTTTTTGTCCACCTTGTTGGTGTAGGTGTTGGTGAGCTTGCTTGTTTGCTTTTTGTTTTTCCTTTTCTTCTTTTTTCCTCCCCCATTCTTCACCTTGCACTCATAGGACTTGTGACCTTCCTTGTGGCATACGTAGCAAACTATGGGTTGTCCTTCATCAAGCTTCTTCACTCCCTTGATGGTGTTATCTTGATGAAGTTGGGCTTGCTCCGTCTTGCCTTTCACTTGAGTCAAGTCCTTGGTGAGGTGAGCCACTTCTTGCTTGAGTTGCTTATTCTCCATTGTGACCTCTTGTGTGCATGTTTCTACAACAACTTTCTCAACACAAACTTGGTTGCACAAGGGTGAGTCTAAACATAAATCATTACAAGAAGTAGAGGCATCTTTTTAAGCATGTCAAAAATTAAACCTTTCTTTTTAGGTGCCTCGGTGGGGGTTGTACCAACGGCTTCAAGATTAGCAACTTTATTAGTTAGCTCATCACAATGTTTGCACATGGTTTCCATTTTAGCGAGCAAACTTTTATAATCATCTTGTGAGCTAGCTAACTTTTCCTTTAATTTTTCATTTTTCTTTATAAGTTGCTCATCATTGATTGTGCAATTATTTGTGTTTGCACTAGTCTCAAGTTGCTCAATTTTAGTAGATAGCTCCATATTGAGATTGGCAAAAGTTTCATATTGTTTGAACAAAGTAGCATAAGCTTGTTGTGAGCTATCTAGTTTTTCTTTTAATTTTTCAATCTTATTTTGTTGATTAGTGCAAACTTTAGCAAAGTTAAGATTTTGTTGCATAATTTTATCATAAGAAGGTAGCTCATCATCACTATCACTATCATTGTCACTATCACTAGGGATAGGCTTTTTGTTACCTCGTGCCATAAGGCACACACGTGAGGTGCTTGATGATGAGTGCCTGTGCCCGTGCCTCTTGTGGTGGTCTTCTTCTTCACTTGAAGAATCATCCCATGACCTTATTGATGTGAGGGCTTTGTCCTTGCAAGGCTTCTTCTTTGTCTTGGGTGTGGTCTTGTTTGGACAAACTTCCACAAAGTGCCCCAAGTCGCCGCATCCATAGCATCCTATCTTTCTTTGCTTATTTCTTTGATTAGTGAAGATGAAATCTTGAATTTGGACAGACACACCCTTGACATTGAGTTTTTGGATCATCTTCTTCACCTTGTTGATAAGCTTGATAGATTCTTCATCAAGGTCAGAGGTGGAGGAGGAAGATTAATCATCATCACTTGATTCTTCGTCGTCGTCATCATCTTCTTCATCTTCACTTGAGGAGCCTGAGCTTGAGCTTGTCTCAACATGCTTGTCCTTTATCTTCCTTTCCTCACTACATGTGAGAGCTTTGCCTTTGCTTGATGAAGAGCCTTCTTCTTGACCCATCTTGCGTGACATTTCAAATGCCACTATCTTGCCAATGACTATGGCTAGGGTCATGGTGCTCAAGTCCTCTATGTTGTGAAGGATGGTGATGATACTTGCATATTTCTTTTGTGGTAGCACGGAGATGATCTTCCTCACAATGTCTGCATCATCTAGCTTTGTTAATCCTATTGAAGGGAGCTCATTGATAATTATATTCAAATGAGAATACATATCACGAACAAGCTCATCATCATTCATTTTAAAGGAATCATAATTTTATTTAGCTAGATAATGTTTTTGCTCACGGATATTAGTTGTGCCGTCAAGGAGCTCTTGGAGTTTTAACCAAATTTCATGTGCCATATTTAAAATGAATATTTGGTTAAACACATCCATGCTAAAAGATTCAAACAAGCAATTTTTAGCTCTAGCATTGAAATGAATTTCTTTTTATTCACTCTTTGTGGGTTTATCGGGATTCTTAATGGGTTTTATCCCATCACGAGTGACTCTCCAAACACCCAAATCTACCGCCTCAAGGTGACAAGCCATTCTAGCTTTATAGTAGGGGAAGTTAGTGCCGTCAAAGTGCGTAGGCCTAGAGGTATCCATCTCAACCACTCTAAATCGCGTCGGCTCAACGACGGTGAAGCCAAAGGTCCAAATTGAGCCAACCGGCTTTGATACCAATTGAAAAGGGACTGAGATGCTTAAGAGGGGGTGAATTAGGCAACTTAAAATTCTAACTCTAAACTATGGCCTCTTTTTCAAGTGTGTTGCTATCTCTACTGCAAAATTCTAACTCTAAATATGCAACTACGATTTTACTAGTGTGTTACTATCTCTACCGCAAAACGAGTTATACAAACAATATAAATGCGGAAGCTAAAGAGTAAGGTAGAGATATGCAAACTCCCATCGATGGCTCTGGTATTTTTACTGAGGTATCGAGAAGCACGCAAGTTTCTCCCTACTCCTCGTTGGAACCCCTCGCAAGGGCGAAGCTCCCGGCCGGGTAACTCCGTGGATAGCCTTGGGCCTTCCCTAAGCGCAAGTGGGTCTTTGACGTGCCTTCCGGCAAGCCTCTTCCGGATGCTCCCCGCCGTCTTCACTATCAAGCTTCCGGTCGAACCGCCGTGGGCCTTGTTCCCTTCGGTACACGGTGGCGGCCACACCACAAATATGGTTGGTGTGATCTCGTAAGACTATAAGCCCCTTCAATGTACAACAATGGTGCGCGCAAGTACCGATGTGATAAGAGGTGTGCAAACCTCACTAAACACTAGACCTAAACCTAGAGCAAGCGCATAAGCGGTGGTCTAATCAACCAAAGCACTTTCAAAGCACCTACGCTAATCACCTAGGCCCCGTTCGCGTGCCCTTAAACCCGACTTGATATGCTTTTTTTTCATCCGAAACAGTGTTTTTCTCTCACAAATTCCTCCATCATTCCTCCAAACCATCCAAATTCCTCCAAGCGAACAGGCCCCTAATGAATCACTAAGCACTATGCAAGTAGAGATCTCTAACATGGTGTATCAACACCCTTAGTATGTTTCCTCAGCTCTCCACAACTCAACTGGCCGGTTAGGGGTCTATTTATAAGCCCCATAGAGAAAGTAGCCGTCGGGGGCGAAACCCAGCTTTCCGCTACTGACCGGACACTGCTGTCGTCCTGACCGGACGTGTCCTGTCGTCTCGACCGTTGGAGCGCGCGCGTTGATCGGACTCTGGGCCGAGTCCGGTCATCATCGATCGGGCGTGTTCTGTCACGCTGGCGCCGCTCTGGAACCTTTCTGGACTCGATCAGACGCCACTGCCTGGCGTGTCTGGTCGTCCACAGCCGCTGCGTTCGGTCACGCTGAATTATTGCCGCGGCGATGAACAAGGAAGTCCGTGCATCCGGTCACTACCTCGCTCAGCGTCCGGTCGCTGCTGCTGACGCCTGCTGTTGCTGAGCAACTGATCGGACCCGTCCGGTCACTCATAGGGCCGCGTCCGGTCACCTCTGTGGAGCTCGTTTCTTCGTGATCTTACGTTCAGCTTGGTTCCCACCTTCATGCTTGGACTTTGATTGATATCTTGGGTCTTTTCTTGTGCTTCTAGAGTCTTGCTTATGGTGTTGATCATGGGATCATCATGTTGTCTTCGTCCAAGTCACGTCTTGCACCCTATTAAACTATAAAACAATTACTTGCAAATTTATTAGTCTAATTTAGTTATGTTAGTCATTAAACACCAAAATACAAAGTAAATGGATCCATTTTCCTTACAGGTTGGTGGTAGTTTATGGTTCAATTAGCGTATAGAGTGCATGATCTGTGCCATTTGGACTTTAAACTTAAAAAACCTAGTGCCAATATTTCGGTTGATGATGGCGGTGGCTAACTTACTCGTCTTTATTAATACATGCTTGGCAAGTGTCTTGCCGGAAGATTTTTTTTAAAAAAAACAGAGAGAGAGAGAAACATGAGTGTTTTTTCTTGTGAAATATGGGATCATCAACGCACTTCTACGCTAGCTTGAAAAAGATGTAAAATCAACCGACCATCGAGTTATTAATTGTATCCATGATTTTATTTTCCAAAAAAAACTATATATTGAGCATCTCTGCATGATGAGTGGCACCGCAGTCAGTATTTGGCCTGAGAACATCTGCTTGGTTATGCTGAGTTGCTGACAGGTAATCACAAAGCAAAAGGACCAAATTAAATCTAGCTAGCTCTGTTGACTTTATTTGCACAACAACATATCCACTTCACATGATCAACACACAATACTTCTAAAAGCAAGCAGATCGGAGCATACAACAATAGGTTGAACATCCATGGCTAGAGACACACCTACAACCGTACAACGATCCTACAACAGTAGGCTGAAGATCCATGGCTAGAGAGACAGACACATACAACGACTGTAAGCTGAAGGGAGAAGCAGCATGATACTGACATAAAGGAAACCGAGGGCAGCACCAGCTCACCACCAGAGCTAGCTGCTGGCCGAGTACGTACGTGGCTGCCACAGAACTAGTTGCTCATCACCTTCTCCTTCTCGGCCTCCTCGCGTTGGGAGCGGTGGCCATGGCCAAACCTTTTCTTGATGGCCTTCCTCCACCGCTTCGCCATCTTTTCCTCCTCCTCGTCATCATCGTCGTTGTTGTTGTTCTTGATCTGATGCGACAGCTTGTTGTTCTTCTTCTTCACCGATTCGTCCTCGATGTGGTGGTGACGACCGTGGATGCGCTTCTTCGTGTTCTCCTCCTCCTTGTCCTCGTCATCGCTTTGCCGGAGGTGCTTCTTTGACTGCTTCTCCTTCTTCCCCTTGTCGCCGCCATCGTGGTGCTTCTTGGTTTTCTTCTTCCCCTCTTTGTTCCTGTTTGGCGTTTGCCTTCTCCTTTTCCTCCTCATCCTCGTCCTTGTCTTCGTCACTGTCCGGGTGCGACCGATCCGGGTCTGGCTCCACAACGGGCTCCACCGGCGACCGATCCGGGTCCGGCTCCGCAACGGGCTCCACCGGCGACCGATCCGGGTCCGGCTCCGCAACGCTGGATGGGAGGCTGAGGAGTCTCTCCGCATCCAGAACTGCGTGCACCTTAGCGGGGACGACGGCGCTGTACGAGGATGAGGCGTTTGTGGTGGAGTCGGCTTGGAGGGTGTCACAGTGAGAGACGACGACGAGGGAGAAGAGGAGGAGGAAGGCCATGCTGGCCGACACACCCAGGGCCATGGTAGGCGTGCTTGCGGCGGTTCCAGCCGTGGGGAATGGAAATATGGAGTGCGATGGTGGAACTGGATAGGATGGAGAGAAGAAGAGGACCGAGCTGAGGCCTCGAGGGAGCAGGGAGGTGGCATTTGTAATGCCACAAGCAGTGTGGGTCCCACGTACGTACGTGGGCCCAGTTTCGAGACTCGGTTGTAGGATGGGTCAAAGTCAAACGGCTTGCTTACTGGCTGCAACAATTGACGATTCCTTTTCTCCACCCCAATCCTTTTTTTAAAAAACAAAAACACGCCAACTACTAGGTACTGACTGTACTACAGAATAGAAGTACATATACCACTAGTGCATGCCCTCATCACCACATAAAACCTTCACCCGTGGAAAACTGGAAACCCGGCAGGCTGCAGCTAGTGCAGGCATGAGGCATGCACTGTCTGTGTGCTCGTCACTTCGTCACCGTATCCATTGACGTGATTAAAGAGGACATGTTGGTTTCTCTTATAATTCATATTTTTTAATTTATTTTTTCAACTAAAATAATATTTTTTCTCACAACAAATCAGCCGGAACAGTGTTTCGTTTTTTTTTTTCAGTGAAGCGAACGGGGCCTAAGCAGATGCCGAGGACAGCGGCCGGCCGGCCGGCCTAATCATCGATTTCTTTATACAAGTATCTACCTCTACACCTTCGTTCATTCATCGGACCAACGAAAATTAGACGAAGAAACAAGTTTATTGGCCAAGGACGCGAGGTAGTACGTGAGTGGCTACGTTCTTGTTAATTTATTACTTGTTCCTTCGAAGCCAAGTTATCAATGCCAATGTCATGCTTGCTTGCATGGCTAATTAATGGTGCTTGTCCAAATATTCTGTTCCACAAATGATTTCTATAGGGGATGAGAAAACATCATTTCTGATGTTGAGAGATGGTTGTTACATCGCATTGAAAAAAAATACATACCCTTTTACCTTCCTTCACACATGGGACCCACATGTAAGTGACTCATTTTCTCCCTTCGTTAGTCCTGGCTGCCTCTTTCTCCCCTCCATCTTTTCTCAGTTTAAAGGGGAGCTCTAATGCAAACATGCATGGTTATCTAGTGCCAATAGGTATTGATTTACATGCATATACATTAGACCTAGTGATATAGTGAGTAGCAAGCGAAAAATGTTTTGAAACACTAAACAAATGCTAACTCGGTACCTAGATGTTTGGCAAACGTTTGAGAATTGACATGTTTGCAAAGAGGGGGACGAAAGGCACTCGATGGTACTTCGTTGCACTCACCGGAGTGCTCCGATGTGCTGCACCGGTGGTGCCACCAGAGTGCTGGACCAGTATGTTGACTTGAGTCTTTTTCAGGAGCCAGCGGCTTGCATTTTGGTGCTTCACTATAGTGCACGTTGCTATCTGGTGTGAACTTTAACTGAGTGGGGGGTTGTTCAAAAAACACCGGACTATTCTACCAGAGAGGGTGTAAAATGGGACTTTGAGCGCTAACGTTCACTAGAGTCATTCGGTGCACCACCGGAGGTGGCAACGGACCTCTTGGTCCAAAGAACCTGAGTTTGCTAGAGCTGTCCAATGCTTCACCGGACTCATCACCAAAGTACCCGTAAAAGGCAATGGCTAGTTTTTGACTCGTTGAAAACTAGTCATTGGGGCCCTCCGATGTGAACTACGGTGCACCACCGGAGGTCTCCGTTGAGCCCGCAATGGCTATTTGAAGAGGGTAACGGTTGGCTCTTGATGTGGGGATATAAATAGGACTTTTGGTCAATCTTGGCCACTCTCTTGCAACCCCAAGCTGATGCCTACACCCTTGAGAGCTTGAGAAACACACTCCACTCACTTTGATTGCATTGAATCAAATTTGGGTGAGATTGGAGAGGCTCTAGTGCACTTGCATCGTCGATTTGCTTCTCATGGCACAATTGAGTGTGGCGGCATTTGTTGTTCTTGTTACTCTTGGTGATTACCTCACCTAGCTGGCTTGGAGCTTCAAGGATCGTTGAGGCGCTTGTGGTGATTATTACTGCCTCCAATCAAGCAATTGTAAGGTGCTCTTGTGCTCATCCCCACAGGAGATCACGAAGAGCAACTCTAGTGGAATGCTCGTGGCTAGTTGGAGTGCTTCTTGCGTTTGATTCTTGCGGCACTCAAGTTGTGGGTCTAGCTTGAGTGGCTAGTTAGCGCACAAATCGCCACATTTAGATTTGCCACAACGAGGACGTAGGTTGCCGACAAGCAATAGGACCTCTGGTGATAAACTGATTGTGTCTCCCTCTTGCCTGATTCGGTATAAAGTTTCACACTTGTTCATTACATTCATACCTTGCTTGAGTGAAATATAACTACTGCAAGTAGTGGCTTTTAGGGCTTGCTATTTTACTAGCCACCTTGCTCTAGTGTTTTTTTGTATTTGTAGAGAAATTTTTATAGGCTAGTCACCTCCTCAAGTCATTTAGATCCTTTTAGCGTCGACATTGGAGGCTTTGCATACCGGCTGCATGGATTGGAGGGTTTGGCTGTTTGGACCTCAAAACCCTTAAGAAGCTTAGGGTGACATGTGGCATTATCGGAGATAGCATGCATTGAGGCAAAGTAACTTCATGAAGGGCACTTGGTTGTCCAATGCATGGAACTCAAATTGGACCATTTCGCCCCTGTTGTCTAAGTGGTTCGACTCTAAACCAACAAACACTCTAGGAATTGTGTAATAGCCCCATAAATAAGAGATGTGTCTGCCAGCCATCCTTTTGCACTTTGTTATTTTCCTCAGGATTAGCAAAGATCTTCATGGTTTTAGAGAGATTTGGCTAGAGAGGAGTGATTCCCTCTTACGTTAATTTTCATCTAAAGTGGGAGGATGCTTTCTGGAAGAGGACGGCTAGTCTTATGTATAGATGAATTCATGGTTAATTGATTAAAGTTTGATGAACTTTTGAATTCATCTATTCTCTCCTCCAGTTTTGTCCTTTTTATTGAATTTAGTGGTCATTTTTGAAGTTTTTCATGCTACTTCTTAGTCTGACCTTTGGCACATTTTTTTATGTCTTTGGGACCCTTGGAACTTAACCAAATCATGTCTTAAAGTCCAGCTTCTATCTATTTGGTTCTAGGCCCCCAAACCCCCTCTTCTCAAACTTATTTTGGTGAATTTTTTTGAGAATCTTTAGAGCTGAGTTTTCATGGTCATCTTCCTCACTACCTAGGTGAAATGGGGTTCTGGAAACATATTTAGGCTTTGCCTCCATCTGAATTCCTGTGACGAGCATCCTTGAAACCTCCTTCTAAGAAAAATGTGAAAACCTCAATTGAGGGCATAAATTCAAATCTGATGACCAAGGTTTTAGATTTTGGGCAAGATCTACCTTCACTATGTTCTAGGGAGTAAAAAGTGTACAAAATTTTGTGTCATTTGGAGTTCATTCGCTTAGGTTTTGACCTTTTCTTCAAATGTTCGGGGCTGAAATATGCAAAAACATGCTTAGCCGGGTTTCAAAACTGGCCTAGGCAGGTTTGAAAACAGGGTTAGCTGGGTGTCGTCTTGGTCCTTCAGATAGGTCAATTATTTTAATTTTTTTGGTTTTCCATTTGTAAAAACTCCCTTGATTTTAATAATAAATTCCTGTTAGGGGCCTGACCCATCCTATTTCCCTCAAAAAATTATATTTTGTGGCTAACATAGTTTCAAAGTTCTAGAATTTATGACGTGATTTAAATGGTAAGAACTCTCTAAAATTTTATAGGAGGATAAGCTCTTTTTTTAAGGAGAAGCCCTCTATTTACTACACTGGGAAGAATACATACAGGCCGACCATAGTAGACAAGAGACATTATAGGACACTTTTGATTTTTGGCATTTCGCTCCTATACTCCTAGTTTGCCACTTCTCCCCCAACAAACGTGACGGTTTCCAGTGGTGTTGATGTGGGACACGAGGAAGTATGCTGCAACGATGGGCTGAAAAGGCTGATCAGATTTCTGATGATTTTGGATGATTCAATAGTATTCTGTGAAAGAGAATAAGCTGAAACAAGCTGAAACGAGCTGAGAACTGAGCAGCCGAACGGTGTGTAGGATTCTAGGAAAGGAAGTGGGGCGGTGTGCATGCGAGTGTGCCGGGCGAGATGACATTCAAATTAAATAAATCTATATAGTTAGATTTACTGGTCTTTTTAGAGAGGACAAAAAGAACCTTCATATTACTCAGCAAAGTTATTACATTCCTGAGCAACTATATGTGCACACACAGGCGTGCCAAACGACCTCAAGTGGCGGAGCCACCCTGAGCATATCCTCTTCTTTTTTCCTGCCATCTTTCTCATCTCACGGAGCGCTGTCATCTTTCTCATTGCGCCGTGCGCTAGTCTCAAACAAGACAAGGAAAAAGGTGCTGCGGTTTGGCTTGTTTAATTGGGCTACAACCTACAACGGCACAACGGCAAAGACCTACTGTATGCCGCCATGCAGTAACGTGCTAGTGCCACTACCAGCTAGCAGTAACAACATTTGTGTTTGGGTTTAGATTAATCTCAACGGCAAACACCCAATCAATGTGCTAGTGCTAAAGACTAATAATGTTTTAACATTTGAGTTTAGATTCTAAACAATTGCATTCACTTAGTAGTAACAGCGTTGTGTTTGGGTGATTAATGATTGATCGTCTGGTACCCTTTATAAAGTGAGTACATGACCTGGGTTCTTTTTTTTGTGCACGCTTTTGGTTTAGGTCGTGTATATTATTCGTCCCAGCTAAAAAATTGTGGCTCCGCCACTGCCTCAAACAACTCTCTTATCGTGTGGAAGTTCATGGGCACTACCATATATATGTTCTCTCTCTTCGTGTGGATCACTCTCCACTCTGGTAATTTCAGCCTCCACCGCTTCATCGGTAATGAAGCATATCTCAGTCCGGTGGCAATTTTTATCTTGTATGTAGTATAGGCTCATCATGATTGGTTAGTTGTTTTTTTTTTGGATAAAGAAAATATAAGAAGGAT